ACGATCAGTAACAGATGCACCAGCGGCAGTGAGAGAATCGGAGATCTCCTTGATTTGTTGAAGATAGTCAGCCATGGATTGAGAGCCTTTCTGAACATTTTGAAGCTTCGAACGCAATTGATGAATATGTACATCTGAGATACCACCAAAACGCTGTTCAAGCTTAAGCCAGAGATCACGAGTGGAGGAGACACCGACTGTGAACGGAATAATTTCCTTAGAGAGCGTCGAATTGAACCAGATAAGCAAATTCTGATCTTTCTCATACCATTGCTCAAAACCTGGATTGATGGAGCGATCTGGAAGAAAGGGAGATGGACAGGGCTCAGTGCCATCAACAATCCCTAGAAGCTTGTAGCGACGGAGAATCGGAGCAAACAAAGCTCGCCACGGCAGATAATTGGATCGCCGGAGCTTGATCGGAACCATACTGCCAATGTTCTGAATCGTGAGAGAATTATACATCTGAGAGGTATTGAGATTTGGGGAAGAGGAATTAGGGTTTGAGGGAGGCACCGACTCAATTGGAGAAGAAGAATCGGAGGGAGACGCCATCAAGATTCAAGAAAAGGAAGCAAGAATCTGAATCGGAGGAGAACAACACCTCAAAGAATCACGGCGGAGAAGACGATCGGAGAAGGCGATCAGAGAAGAACGGAAGAAGGCAGGATCGAAGAAGCCGTGAGGCAGTGTGGCGATGGTACCATGTAGAAAACCAAGATCCACAGTTTCTAAATATCTCTCATATATTGATTAATCAGATAATCTTACAATGATGCAGCAGTGTATATATAGACAGTACACTGCTCTTACAATTACAATTATATCCTTGTCTAATCTATTTATTTACATAAGAATCATAACAAACATTTAACTAATTTTGCTTGACTCTTTAATCGCAACAAAGTAGCAACAAATCCAAAATCAAATGGGTTTGCGGAGGGCCAAGGAGGTGAAGGATGGAAACGATGGTGAAAAGAAATTGGAATTGATGGCATAGGATTTAGAAAATTAAAGCACAAATTGGTGACGATCAGTAGACAGCTTGCAGGGAAATCCAAACCCGAGAACCACCGACCCAGGCCATGGCAAGGGCCGGCGACGGAGGAGATGGAAGTTTGAAGAAGGCTCAGCACACAGGTTGAAAAGGCTCTCACGGGGTGGTGAGAAAAGCTCTCACAAAAGGAGAGAACTGTACCAAGAACCAGTTGCAATTCCTTATTGTTTATTAGACTTTAAAATTTAAATGCTTCTAGCTTTACATTTATTTAAGCTAATCTGTTTTCATATTACATTAAGGTGGTTAAATAGTTTCTCTATTATTATTTTTTTAATAAGCGATATTATCTATATTAACAAGGAGAGAGTGGGTAAAACCTCACAATGGGTTAGCAATAATTTAGTTCAAATTCGTTTTTTATGAGAATCGCACCTAAGACCTGTCATTACGAACAAAACATACATATGCAAATAAAGACCTAATTACAAAAAAAAAAAAAAAAAAAAAAAAAAGAGACGACGAAAAGATAGACATCAAAGCAAACACACAGAAGGGAAAAAAAACGGTCGCCGCTTGTCATGCATGTCCTCAAGTTAACGAAAAATTATAAAGAAAACTAATGAAAAATGTTTTAAAACTTTGAGTTTTAACGATAAAGACAAAATAAAGGGTAAAGTGAATAGTATCAGGATTGATATTTTAGTGTAAAAATGTCATTTTTCGTTAAAATGAACAGTACCATGAGTTTTTCGTTAAAGTTTTCAAAATTATAATTAAGGTCAAATAACCAAAAGGCATAAATCGATATAATTTTAAAACATCACTAGAATAAAACATGCCAAAGGGCACCCCTTTTTTGGACACCATTCACAATCTCTGTCTTTACGAAGTACAACCTTGCAACCGAGTATCAATGTTTTCTCTACACATCAAAATTACACATTTAAGTTGCACATCTGAGAAGACCCATTAAATTATTTAACGTAACAAAATCTACCGACTCTTGTTCACATACGTAATTTAAATGTGCACCAGAGAAGATTCACCGAAGTATGCTCTTCCCATGTAGCCGTCACCGTTGGCGAGCTTAGTCAGTCCATTAGGGCGGCAATTTACAACAATGTCAGCAAACCAGTATGAAATCTTCATGATCAATCTCTCCCTTCAGGCTCTGCTCCCTCCTCCGTCGTAAGAAGAACCCGAATCTCGCTCTCCAACTCTTTCAAAATCTCAACCCCGATACGGAAACTCCGCCTGGACAGCCCTTTCGCTACTCTCTCCTTTCCTACGACCTCATCATCACCAAGCTCGGCCGCGCGAAAATGTTGGACCAGATGGAGCAAATCCTCCACCAAATGAAGCAAGAAACCCGTTTCTACCCGCCGGAGATAATCTTCTGCAATGTCATTTCGTTCTACGGTCGGGCTCGCCTTGCCGACCGCGCTCTCCAAGTGTTCGATGAAATCCCTGCTTTCCGTTGCCAAAGGACGGCGAAATCGTCGAATTCGCTGCTCGATGCGCTTTTCAAGTGCGGGGAGTTAGCGAAAATGATGAGATTTTTTTGTGGGTTTTGAGAATTACGCGACCCGGCCCAGATGAGTGTACTTATAATATATTGATCAAAGCTTGTTGTGCGAATGAGTGCTTGGATGATGTGCGGAAGGTGTTCGATGAAATGTTTAGGAAGGGTGTACGTCCGACTACGGTGATGTTTGGGACTTTAATTTACCGGCTTTGTTCGAATTTCAGGTTGAAAAAAGCATTTAAGTTGAAATATGATATGGTGGTGATTCATGGCGTTGTGCCTAATCTATACGTGTATACACCTCTTTGATCAGAGGGCTTTGTAAGATTGATGAAATGATTTCGGCTTTTAGGCTGAAAGAGGAGATGGCGACGAAGAAAATCAAGCCCGATTCAGCTGTTAATTCAACGTTAATCAGCGGGCTTCACAATGCTGGCCGGAAAGAAGAGGTTTCCGGGCTTTTGGACGAAATGAGATTGTACGGGTGCAAACCAGATACCGTGACTTTTAATGCATTGATTCACGGGTTGTGTAAAGAGAGTTTTGGATGAGATGGCGGAGAAAGGTTGTGAGCCAGATGTTATTAGTTACAATACAATTATCGGTGGACTATGCAAGGAAGGGAAATGGAGGGAAGCTAATGATTTGCTCGAAGATTTACCAAGATGCGGGTGTACTCCCGACGTTGTTTCATATCGAACAATGTTCGACGGACTTTGCGATTGGAGACAGTTCAAAGAAGCAGCCCTTGTTTTGGACGAGATGGTCTTCAAGGGCTTCGCGCCCCGGCTTGCAAGTACACAAACTTGTTGAGGTGTTGTGTGAGGAAGGTAGTGCAGAGTTGTTAGGGGCAGTTTAACTAGTCTGGGAAGGGGAAAGGGGCAGATTTCTTCATGTAGATATGTGGGGAATGTTGACTGATATGGTTTGCAAGTAGGAGAAGCTTGCAAATGTCTTTAAACTTGTTGATAGTTTAGTAATGCAAATGTAGCAATTGATTTTTTTGGCTATGTCAATAAGATAAAATTGGGTTTTGATCAAGTGAAGGCATTCTTACATAACGTCCCACCGTAATTTATTTTTCCCATAGACTTTCATTGACAAATATGTTAATGATCACGTACTCGAAACATTGATAGTATCACTAATATAAATGACATATCCATTGTTGTTGATAGGATTATCGATATTGAATGGTCGGATTAGCCAACTGATCAGGCGATATGACTAAAAAATTATACGTATAAAAGTTCTTTTAACTATATGATATCCCGTTATTGTTTGGAATACTACTGTGACGTGGATGCTTTAGACACCCAATGAATGAGAATACATTATTTGTTTTAAGTTTAACCTAAAAAATCAAATATATTTCAGCGCCTAAAAAAATCATTTTATAAATAAAATTAAATGCCCACGTCTCCAGGGGGACGTAGCTCATATGGTAGAGCGCTCGCTTCGCATGCGAGAGGCACGGGGTTCGATTCGCCGCGTCTCCACTCTTTATCTGCATTTTTGTTGACATTTTATTGTCACGGTACTCTCTGCACATCTCATGGAGCGATTTCTGAAATCTGTTTTTCGAATTCACTTCGCAGAAACCCTGCATAATTAATCATCCGCAAAACGTTTTCCAAAAACAAAATTCAAATATCGTGTTTAAAACAGTCGTGCAAGACAAAGATCCTTCCTGTTCCTGGAACCAGATTTTGTCTTTGATAATTCACAAACAAAACCCACCACTATTAAACTGATACGGAGTTCCCACGTTGAAAAAAATGAAGTTTTGCTTTAGCGTTAAACAATACTGGACCTCTCCGTTTTATTGTCGATTGATGTTTAGTTGAATGCTCACATTTTAATAACAAATACTCCTCTATTCGAATTTTGTCTTTCAAAAGACGAGTAAGGGGCGGGGACGAGGAAGGGAGAGTTTCCGGAGCAAAGCCCCAGGAGTTTAAAGTTCAAACCCTTACTCTATGCGCAGTATCTTTATCCCTATATAACCTATGTCAACATATTGGTCAATTAAATTTACGGGGCCAAGTTAATAGAACAATATGCTCTCGTCTATGCACTTAAGTTTGAATCTTTCTCCAACAGTTTGAAAATATAGTCTAAAATATCGTTTGAATAAAAATTGTTCACCGATAAATGATTGCTGTCATAATTGTTTTGTCGTTCTAAACTAGATGAAAACTGTGAGCTCTATAAGAATGAGGAGATAAACTGAAAATTTATGAACTGTAGATCTATATATTATAGAACAGGATGTTTCTTTCGCCTTTAATGTTCACATCTCTCTTATCCTTCCTCGCTGTCATCTTTTTTTGCTTTAATTAAACAAAAAAAACTACAACAGTCTGACTAAACGAAGTCAGCTGTATGAATCCTTGAACGCCACTGCACTCAATTTTGTGCCAAGTCTTCCGTTAGCTCTAAGTACTCCATTTCTTTTCTTAGAGAATTAGAAAATATGCCCTGAACTGCTAGTATTATACCATGAAACAGTTCCTTTAATGTGAGCAAGTTATATGCACATAAAAGCAGCACAAATTCAATGCCAAATTAACTTATACTGCAATTCTGTGTGTAAATATTTGGTTTATTATTTATGATGATGATGATACTAATAGACTCTAGCAGTACTCTCAACATCCATCACTGGCGGGCTCAACGGAGCTTAAAAGCCCGTTGCCTCTGAGCTGCATGCAGTGATCTTCTGCATCCACCTGAGCACACACAATTACGACAGCCAGGCCGTTGTGATGCGCCTCCTGCATCACGTTCACCGCAATGTCGACAGTCATTCCTGGGATGACCTTCATCAGAACTTGGACAACGTACTCCCTCTTGTTATAGTTGTCATTGTGCAGCATCACTCGGTATGGCGGAGACATTTTCCTTGATTTCCTGAACAAAATTGATCAAGGAAAAGCTTAATTAGTAAATTGTACTTTCTAATGTTAATCAAATGATTTATACGTGCAACGGAGCAAAGGGCTGTTAAAACTTAAAATAGTTTCTAACCCTCAAATATTTATTTACTAATAACAGGCTTGTAGCTCGTTAGAAGCTTTCACCCTTATACTCGAGGTCTTAAGTTCGTGATTCTTGCATTGGCACTTGCTATGTTTCTTACTTTCCTTGAAAGCTTTAATCGTTTGCTTAATTGTATTGAGCTAAGTCGGCCTTACGTTTAACACCCTTCAAGATATTAGATATGATGTTGGGGTTTCAAAAAAATTCATCCCACTCACAAATTTTACCTTGAGGGACTTCAAAGTACCGAGAATCCTTAGATTATATTATTAAAAATGCACTACTGGAACACTACCAATGAACGGCTCAAACGCTACAAAACACCATAGAGACACTAAGCAAAGAACTTTAAGGTGTTACCAGAGAGTTCTCTCAAATATAATGCATCTCATCATTTCTAATCTTCTATCTAACTTTTGTAGTACATTCTGAATAAGTTTAGTCTAAGTTATATAAAACTTTGAAGTCTCTCATCTAAACGCACCATAAATTCTACTTTATTTACCTCACGTCAAATTCAGAGTCACGATTAGGAGTTGTTTTCTCTATGGTTGGCTTGTCCAACACCCCACCACCTGTGCCAAGCCTGGTGCTCGATGCTGTCATCAAGATGCTCCGATTTGGACTTTGTCTGTAGAAATAATGTTTATCACCTGTTACATGGTCAATAATAAACCTTGAGTTAACCAACAAACCCAAGCATGTTTACTACGCAACGTAGGAATGTAAAAGAGAGAAACTCATCCATAGCGGTAGTACCGCATTGATCTTGGTACTTCAATTCAATCACGCATTGTCACATGTAGTGCGTGATTGACTTAAGATACAATCTCCAATACACCACATATTGTTCTTAAGAAAATGCATAAAAGAGTTTTAGGAATCAAATCTTATCACGCCATAATTATTATTTGAGATATTGTCACTTGGACATCATGCGCATGAAAAGTTTCTCAATTTTAAGAGTTGAAAAATTAGTGTACAAAATACAGAATTTGTGCCTAAGAAAATGTATAAAATAGTTTTAACCATCTCCACAAATGGATGCAAACTTGACAGAAATTACAGAATTAGTGCGTAAACTAAAATTTTTGCTCAAATTTGAAAGAGCCCAGAAACACAAAGTACCTGACTTGTTGAGATTGAATCCATGGTTTGGCGAAAGAGGGACTCGACCGCAGATGGCAGCCATGAGCCTCTCTCTCCTCTCTCACTCTCTCTCTCTCTCAAACTCCGAGTGTTTGTGCCACAAGAGACTGGAAAGGAGAATGTGTGGCAATGGCATATACAGGGTTGTGTGGGCCGTGACTTCAGATGGTGTTAGTTAACGACACGTCGTATGAGAATCATTCTGTGGAAAATATCCGGCTCTGCACTTTGTGTGGCACGGGTTGTTTAAATATAGACCTATGCAACACTTATTTTATTGAAAAAAAACCCATCTCGTTTTAAATATCCAGATAAAATTCAAATTTGAAATAAACTGTCATGTAAATAAATAAATACTTATTATTTTCAAAATATTTACAATTGTACCACAACACCCTAATTATGTTGATGAAAGTGCTTTATTATTACAAAAGTATCTACTTTATACTTGTTTTGCCATCATTTGTTCCATTTCTTATATTTGTTTGACAATCATTGTAGGTAAATTATTTTGCATGTATACATTAGGCACATTTCGTTGTTATTATATATGTGTGAAATAAATTACTTATATTTTTAAGTAGAATATAGGTAATTAATTAACTTTGAATCAATTGTCTAAAAACATCCTTTTATTTTGTAGGTAAATAATTTTGCATGTATTATTACATATACTAGGCACATTTGTTATTACTATGTGTTGTTTACTATCAATCAACATTCATTTATTTTGTAGGTAAATTACAAAAGTATCTACTTTATACTTGTCTTATCATCATCTGTTCCATTTCTTATATTTGTTTGGCAGTCATTGTAGGTAAATTATTTTGCATGTATACATTGGACACATTTTGTTATTATTATATATGTGTGAAATAAATTACCTATATTTTTAAGTAGAATATAGTTAATTAATTAACTTTGAATCAATTGGCTAAAAACATCTTTGTAGGTAAATTATTTTGCATGTATTATTACATATACTAGGCACATTTGTTATTGTTATGTGTTTTTTGCAATCAATCAACATTCATTTATTATGTAAGTAAATTATTTTGCATGTATTATTACATATGTTAGGCACGTTTTGATATTATTATATATATGTGTATGCAAATAACTTAATTAGCTTTTGAATCAAACAATATTTATTTATTTATTTTGTAGATAAATTATTTTGCATGTATTATTTTACCTGGAACATATATTATTATTTTACCTGGAACTTATATTATTATTTTAGATATGTAAAATATTGGTAATTTTGAATAAAATAACAATTGTATATTTGTGAAAAATACTAATTTACCTGTTACAATTATTTGAAAAGGAAAAAAAAAAGAGTAATGCTATTCATACCATGTTTTTGTATCATATTTTCATACCATATTAATTAGTGGCATTTGATGTGGATAGCCATATCATTTGAATTAATTAGATTTTTAAATTTAGTTCATTATTTAATAAACTAATAATTAAGAAAAACTAGTTAATTAAATAATGATTGTGGTATACAAGGAGTATTTCTCCTTCATTTCCTTGGGTTTTGCAAATTTTTCAAATGATGTGGCTATCCACATCAGATGCCACCTAAGGTGGTATAGAAATGTAGTATAAATAGCATTACTAAAAAAAATGCTCATTTTTACATAAATGTGAAAACAACTATAAAAGGAATCAAAATTCTAATATCATGTAATTTTTGTTATTAATATGCACCAAAATCATGACTGTCACATCCCGGCCCGGGGCAGAACCACTTCCCGGGCCCGCTCCACCACCGTAGCACGATATTGTCCGCTTTGGGCTTACCATTCCCTCACGGTTTTTGATTTTGGGAACTCACGAGCAACTTCCCAGTGGGTCACCCATCATGGGATTGCTCTAACCCCCTTCTCGCTTAACTTTGGAGTTCCGATAGAACCCGAAGCCAGTGAGTTCCCAAAAGGCCTCGTACTAGGTAGAGATGGGAATATACATTTAAGGATCACTCCCCTGGGCGATGTGGGATATCACAATCCACCCCCCTTAGGGGCCCGACGTCCTCGTCGGCACACTTTCGGCCAGGGATTGGCTCTGATACCAATTGTCACATCCCGGCCCGGGGCGGAACCACTTCCCGGGCCCGCTCCACCACCGTAGCACGATATTCTCCGCTTTGGGCTTACCATTCCCGCACGGTTTTGTTTTTGGGAACTCACGAGCAACTTCCCAGTGGGTCACCCATCATGGGATTGCTCTAGCCCCCTTCTCGCTTAACTTCGGAGTTCCGATAGAACCCGAAGCCAGTGAGCTCCCAAAAGGCCTCGTGCTAGGTAGAGATGGGAATATACATTTAAGGATCACTCCCCTGAGCGATGTGGGATGTCACAATGACACTAAAAGTTTTCTTTTCCAAATTTGGATAAACATTTCAAAACGTTTAATTGAATGAAATAATATAAAATAAATGTAGATAACAAGTAATAGACCCAAAGTCAATGATATTAAGGGTAATTTAGACATCCAAAAATGAGTAATGATATTCATACCATGTTTTTATACCACATTTCCATACCACCTTAGGTGACATCTGATATGGTACCACAATTATCATTTAATTAACTAGTTTTTTTTAATTATTATTTTATTAAATAATGAACTAAATTTAAAAATCTGAATAATTCAAATGATGTGACTGTCCACATCAAATGTCACATAAGGTGGTATGAAAATGTGGTACAAAAATATGATATGAATAGCATTACTCTCCAAAAATACCAATTGTGCCAAGTCATACTTAATTATGGATATTGTTTAGTTGAAGCCTAGTCATTGGGTTTTTATTAGAAAATTTTACAATTGTGAGTTTTAGTTAATGAAAATTGAATTTGAAGGGGTATACTCAGACTTTCCTTTTATTTTTAAGGACATATATATCCACTCGTCGCACTTCGGCACTAACAAAATTGGCAGATAGCCATGGAGCTCTTCTCCCTGCAATCTTTTCTCCTCCTCCTTATCTCATCTCCTTCTACATCTACCACCACTTCTTCGCTTCGTTGAAGAAATACAAACACATTGGCTTCAAAAACTACCTGATTCTCGGAACCCTACCGGAATTCTTAAAAAACCGCCACCGGTTCCTCGAATGGACAACCGAAATCCTCACTAGCTGCCCCACCAGCACCGCCATCTTCAGCCGCCCGGTAAAAATCTGCAGCGTCATCACCACCAACCCTGCCAACGTCGAACACATGCTGAAAACCAACTTCAAGAACTACCCGAAAGGCGAAAGGTTCATGTCTCTTATCCAAGACTTTCTCGACAGTAGAATCTTCAACTCCGACGACGAGCTCTGGAAGGTTCAGAGGAAAACCACTAGCTATGCTTTCAACACGAAATCGCTTTGGAACTTCATTATGGAAAACGTTAGGGTTGAGATTGAGTTGATGTTAATTTCGTCTCTAGACACAGCTGCCTAAACAAGATGTCGTTTGGACTTGCAAGATGTTTTGGAGCGTTTTGCTTTCGACAACATTTGCAAGTTGGCTTTTAATGTAGACCCAAATTGTCTCGGAAGCGGTGGTGGCGGAAATATGAGTCCATCGATTTCGATTCCCAATTCGGATCAGTTTATGCATGCATTTGAAGAAGCGGCCACACTTATCTCTAGGAGATTTTTGTATGCGTTTCAGTTTATGCAAAAGATAAAGACGTTTTTGAACATTAGATCAGAGCAGAGGTTAAAAGAATCAATCTCGACCATCCATAACTTCGCAGATAAGATAATAAAGTCGAGAATTAGCGACGAACGGTTGGAGGATCGTCATGATTTGTTGTCCTTGTTTATTGGTATTCCCGAAAACAGCTCACTGGATTTTCTTCGAGATATCATGATAAGCATCATTCTCGCCGGCTGAGACACGACATCATCAGCTCTGACGTGGTTTTTCTGGCTCCTGTCGTCCAGATCGCACGTGGAGCGCACCATTTTAAATAAGCTGGAAATGATTCGGGTATGAAATAGGAAACATATCGACGATGTTTATGATTTGGACGAGCTCTAAGACATGCACTATTTGCATGCGGCGATTTCAGAGGCGATGTGGCTGTACCCTCCCGTACCGGTCGACATGAAGGTGTGACAATGTTTTGCCAGACATGATAGCCGTGGGGAAGGAGTAGTTCGTGATGTACCATGCTTACGTGTATATTCAGATGAAGTCGATTGCGGCATCAGTGATGGAGAGGTTTGTGATCGTCGTATAGGATAGGGACACGTGTCTGGAGCATCTGTTGTCATTGACTCTCAGGATGAAAGGTGGCCTCTCCGTGAGCGTTAGGAGAAGAAGATTTGTAGCTGATGATCAGTGAATCGGTGATTATATGATGTCGTTTGATGACACAAAATTAATAAGATCTTAATGCTTCTAAATTTCATATATCATTCATAAATATGCAAACTTGTTGTGATATATATTATTTATAACATATATGAGATTATGTAACATCCCACATCTCCTAGGGGAATGATCCTTAAATGTATATTCTCATCCCTACCTAGCACGAGGCATTTTGGGAGCTCACTAGCTTCGGGTTCCATGGGAACTCCGAAGTTAAACAAGTAGCGCGCGAGAGCATTCCCAGGATGGGTGACCTATCGGGAAGTTCTCGTGTGAGTTCCCAAAAACAAAATCGTGAGGGTGTGGTTGGGGCCCAAAGCGGACAATATCGTGCTACAGTGGAGTCGAGCCCGGGAAGTGGTCCCGCCCGGATCGAGATGTGACAATTTGGTATCAGAGCCTAACCCTGGTCGTGGTGTGCCGACGAGGACGTCGAGCCCCTAAGGGGGGTGGATTGTAACATCCCACATCGCCCAGGGAAGTGATCCTTATATGTATATTCCCATCCCTACCTAGCACAAGGCCTTTTGGGAGCTCACTGGCTTCGAGTTTCATCGGAACTCCGAAGTTAAGCGAGTAGAGCGTGAGAGCACTCCCATGATAGGTGACCCACTGGGAAGTTCTCGTGTGAGTTTCCAGAAACAAAACCGTGAGGGTGTGCTGGTAAGCCCAAAACAGACAATATTGTGCTACAGTGGTGGAGCAGGCTCAAGAAGTGATCTGGCCCAGGTCGGGATGTGATAATTTGGTATTAGAGCCTCACCCTGGTCGCGTGTATGTGACATCCCGTCCCAAAATTATAGAAAACGTGTGTGTGAAATGACATTTTTGCCCCTAGTTCGTTTTCGTTACATTATTGGTTGCTTTGTGTGGTGTGGCATGTGTTGGGCCACACACACACACTGTCACTCTCACTCTCACTGTCTCTCCCTGTCTCTCTCTCTCTGTTTTTCCCCGAGAACCCCATCCCTTCTTCTTCCATTTGAAAACGTACGGACACACACCAAACCCCTCAAACCATCACAGATCGAGGAAACTAAGGACACCTTCGAACTCGTGAAGCTCGTGCGAGTGCAACCATACCATTTTCAGGTGAGAAATCCTCCATTTTCACGTCGATTCGAGGTTTTCCAATTTGAGCACTATTCATGCAAACTTATTCTAGCATGTTTTTGGACTTTTTAAGCTCGTAGATGTCTTTGTGAGGTCCCAAGGAGCCTCGGAGTGCTTCGTTGGACAAATTTGGACGTCGGGAAAGCTTGGTTCGAAGTTGGCCGGTTTTTGAGTTTGAAGACAAGTATGATCGCGTGGTTTTTAGCCTTTAAAAGTAGTCTATCGTGATTCTCCTAGGTCTAAGCTTCATTTTGGTTCAAGAATCATGAAAATTGGTTGAGAAACGAACGAGAAAACACGATTTGAAGTTTTTCCAGTTTTCCGGCGCCGGTGACGGCACCGGAGAGTGATCGGGGAAGATGACGGAATATTCCGTCAGATCTGACGGAATATTCCTGACGCCGTTGACGGAATCTATTAGAAATAACGGAATATTCCTCACGGCGTCAGTTGACGCCGTCCATGTGCGCCACACGTGCCTGCGCGTGGCCGGCGCGTGTGGCCGTGCCTTGGCCGGCGCGTGGCGGCGGAGGAAATTTTTTCTAAAAATATGGTTGTGATCCTGAGGTTGCGTAGAGCACGTTGGTATATTCATTTGTCCATTTTGAGCAATGTATGAGAAGTTATTTTGAACGGAAGGTTATGTGCTTTAAAGTTAACGTTTTTATAGTTAATTCGCATATAGGTGATTCCTATCCCGAGGACGAGCGTGCACACTCGAGGCAGGGGGGCTACGACCCTTCCACATTCCAGTGAGTGGGCTTTTGGTTTTCCGTATATACCTATATACATTTATTTTCCCAGAAATTGTTTAAAAAGAGTTAATTGTTTTATGCCATGCACCATATTATTATCGTTTATGCATCATTGCATGCATTAGTAGTGACATACATATATATATGCATATTTGGTGCTGTGGACGTACAGGTAAGTGCCAGGTAAGTGGTATTCATGTTTATATTCAGTAATGGTTTGAGATACTTAGAGAGCTCATAACCTGCACCCCCGGTGTTAGTGCTCCCGCCCAGAGTAGGGCACAGTCCTTCACGTGTTGTTCACCTCCCGCACCACACGCTCAGCTTGGATCCAAGTTAGGTGCACAGTCCTGTTGTACAGACCACTTTAGGTGGTTCCGACTCGTAGGTGACCCGCGATTATTCGCACAGCCTTCACGTGATCGTAACACTAAAGCGTTTATATGTATTACACCCAGGCCTGTCGTACAGACCACTTTAGGTGGTTCCGACTCGTGGGCAGGTTTAGTGATTGAGATTAAGATTTGAGCTCTAGATTCAGCCGTACAGGTCACTTAGGGGACTCCGGCTGCCAGATGTTATGCTATTGATGTGATTTATACCTGAGCACTTGCATATCATTATGAGGCTTGGACATGGCATATTATTGAGCATGATTGGCATACTTATACATACGTATATATGTTTATTTTCTGGGAAGTATACAGGTTTTACGGCGAGGGGTTAGAATATATATTATGAAATGGTTTCCAAAGAGCTTTGTTTTTGCCCACTCACGCCTTTGTTTTGCGCCCCTCCAGGTTCTAGTAGCTTAGCGGTTTCGGTGGTTTTCCCAGAGGGCGTCTCGGCATTTCTGACAGACACTCACCGATGTAGGGTCACCTTCGGGTGCACTATTGTTGTATCATTTTCTTTGGACTGCTGTAGTCTTTATGCTCTGAATTCAGCGTCTCACTTACGCTAGCACTCATATTGTCACTTATTGTATGCTAGTTTTTAAATTATTCGTACTTTTACATTACTGTTTTTAGCTTCCGCACTGTGCACATGGCTACGTCACTTCCACGTGACGGCCAGCATGCCCTGATCTCGGTCGGGGTATGTCAGTGTATGCCGACGAGGACGTCGGGCCCCTAAGAGGGGTGGATTGTAACATCCCACATCGCTTAGGGGAGTGATCCTTAAATGTATATTCCCATCCTTACCTAGCACGAGGCCTTTTGGGAGCTCACTGGCTTCGAGTTCCATGGGAACTCCGAAGTTAAGCGAGTAGCGCGCGAGAGCATTCACAGGATGGGTGACCCATTGGGAAGTTCTCGTGTGAGTTCCCAAAAACAAAACCGTGAGGGCGTAGTTGGGGCCCAAAGCGGACAATATCGTGCTACGGTGGAGTCAGGCCCGGGAAGTGGTCCCGCCCAGGGCTGGGATGCGAAAGATTACGTGAATCACTAGTAGATTGTATTTAAAATACTTTATGATTTTCTATGTTTTGATTGTATTACTTCAAACGCAAGGAATCTTAGGTTGGTTACTATAATTTTTTTTTTTAAACAATATGATATTCATTGATAAGTAATATAATATGTACAATTATTAAGGATAAGGTGCATGCAATGAGCCTCGATAAAAACCTTATGACAAGACATGAGAAATAGTACACCGAGAATTCCTCAAGTCGTTCATCTCTCTCTTCCTCTCTTTATTGTTCCCTTCAGAGAAAATAAATGTGAAATCCCATTCCTGGATTTCACTATTATAATCTACATATTTGTATTATTGAGATTTTATATTATTTTCGAGAATTTATATTAATTTATTTGAATTTAGATTTTTATTAAACTAGTTATGAAATTGAAGTTTGGAAATTAATTATTTAAAATCCGTAGACCTTTCGTGGTCACAATTTATATTTTCGAATAGAGCTCAATCTCAAGTAGGGGTGGGCACGGTTTGGTTTGGTTTGGTGCAGTTTTGAGTGAAATTGAAACTGAAACCGAAATTTTTTGCAGTTCGGTTCGGTGCGGTTTTGAAGTCAAAATCGAAATGAAACCAACCCGTTTGGTTCGGTTCGGTGCGGTTTCAAACGGTTTCGGTTTGGTTTTTAAGAAAAAATGTACAATTTGCAATTTAACATATTAATAAGCATTTCCCAATAGCAATAGGAAAAAGACATTTGTTATGTTAACAATTAGCATGTTGTATGCAGTTGTGATGTTAAAACATGTTTGTGCAATAAAAGGGTGTCCATTACAATGTTTATCATAAAACAAGTTGAATAAATTTGAATTCATTAAAAGTGAGTGAAACTTTCATACTAGAATATGTGATATCATACTTCAAATGAGTGGACTTCATTAGATCATTGTACGACTCTTGATAACAAGATTAGTCCACCCTTGTACATATATGTGTGTGTGATGGTATAAAATAACAAAGGTCCTTCAAGTTAATGAACGAAAGAAAGTGATGAATAATGATATTCTAGTGTGGTTGAGTCCATACTAAGTGTATAGATTCTAATAAACAACCAATTAAAACATGAAATCTAATATGAACATTTAATTAAATATTTATTAATATTTACGGTGAGGTTT